GGGGCCATAAACCAATGACGCATGGTGATAGGTGCCAAGAAAGAGATAAACAGGATGATGTGAGAGGTGACAGGGCCAGGGGCCTCCTTCCCATGGGGTGGTTAGAGAAGACCTTTGAGGAGGTGACCTCCAGCTGACACTTAGAGGGTGTGAAGGAGTCAGCTGTGTGGCAGGGCAAGAGCAAGCTGGACAGAGGAGATCCCAGATGGGATAAACTAGAGCTCTGATAGCATAGTGATTACAAGACATGCACCTAATCTAAAGGTCAGCAGTTCAAAACTACCAGCTGTTCTGCAGGAGAAAGATGAGGCTTACTGCTCCTGTAAAGATTTGCAGACTCGGAAACCCTCCACAGGGTCTCTATGAGTCCGAACTGACTCCGCGGCATACCACCACCACCAGAGATAGCTGAGAGTTTGTGTTGATTCAGTATTTTCAAAGTTATCTTTTGATTAATTATTTGGTTTGCTTGACACCACGAAGTGGGAACCATGGCTAGAGCTCTTGTGCACCCCAATGTCTCAATCATTCCAGTCTGAGAAGCTGAGGACCCAAACTTGTAACCCATGGGTAGCCGCCACCCTCATGGTTCTGCCCTTTACCCAGGAACCTTCACACACACAGGCATCACTCTGCTTAAAAGGGGTTTGGGGAGAGAGAGTGAATGGAAAAGATCCTTGGTCATGCTAAAGAAGTCTGTTTCTCTCCCCAGTTTTTGAAAATATTCTGTTAGAAGTTTTAAAGCTTTGGTTTTCTTATTTAAATCTTTATAGATCACCTGGAATTTACATGTGGTGTGAGGCAGGGGTCTAATTTTCCCCCCTCTTTGTAACAAATTGTCAGAGGACCATTTTATTGAAGACACACACTGGTTTGTCATGCTTTTTTTTATCAAACCATTTTTCCGTCTACCTGTGGGTTTGTTTTTATATAGTCTATTTTTGCGACACTGACCTGTTTGTCCCCGAGCTATATTCTTCTAATTATGTTGTTATTTCCCATCAAGGTGGCTCTGATTCATGGAGACTCCAAGTAGCACAGAACATTGCCCAGTCTGATGGCATCTTCATGATGGTTGGTATGTTGGAGTTCACTGAGTGGCTATTGTGTCACCGCATCTCGATGAGAGTTCTCCCTGACCAAATAGGAAGTCCTCTTCCAGCAGCTGGACTTTCCTGACGATGTGTCCAAAGTAAGCGCATCAAAGGCTGACCATCCTGGCTTCTAAGGAGCACTCTGGTTGTATTTCTTCTAAGACTGATTAGGGAAACCACACTCTCCTGGCACCTTTCTCCTTGTGTTTGTGTGTTTGTTTCCCATCATTCCCCAGAAATGGAGTGAGAATCAATGATTCAGCGCCCCCAGAATGACTCTCCTGTTTATGCTCCACGTCCGTCCACTTACTGTTCAGCTTCTGTGTTCCCTATCTTTGTTTTTAACCAATGGCCCATTATGGGTGCAGATGGAGCAGAAAGAACTAAGATTAAAGAGCATTTAAACTGAGCAGAGACCTGGGCTGCTGCTGCCCGGTGATGTCTGGTGATAGTGACTGTGGACCGAGTGAGTCAGCGCATGGGCAGTTACGGGTCTTCCTCCTGCCCAGCACATAGTCCCTCTTAAAGGGGAAGCTTCTAAAAGACATTCATTCTTCTAAGGGTTTGTAAGTCATGGGATGGGAAACAGGGAGGAGTTACTAGTTTTTTTTGTGTGTGTGTGCTAAAAATATACATGACATGCAGCAATTTCAACATTTCGATGGTGTATAATTCAGTGAGATTGTTTACATTTTTCATGTGTGTAACCATTCTCATTAACCCTTTCCAAATTATTTTACTACCAAGATCATAAATGAATTGCCCTCTAAGCAAAAACTCCCTCTCTCCCTCACCTTTCATCCCTGGTAACACGAACAATCTTTGGCTTCTATTTATCTGTTTATTTCATGTAAGTAGCATCATGGAGTATCTCCTGAACTTATTCTACTTAACTTGCTGTTTTCAAGGTTCATTCATGTTGTGGCATGCATCAATACTTCATTTCTCTGTGGGAGGTGGTGGAGTCAGTTCCAACTCATAGTGACCCTGTACAGGGTTTCTGAGTTGAGTCATATTCCATCGTATGTATACACATCTTGTGTTTTCATTCATCTATTGATGGACATTTCAGTTGTTTATACCTTTTGGCTGTTGTGAAGAGTGCTGCAGTGAACATTGAAGTACAGGTTTCTGTATCTATTCCTGTATCATAGACCTAGAATAGCAAATACTGGGTCATGTGGGAGCTTGTTCCTCAGAAACCCTATACAGGGTTGCTATGAGTTAGAACAGCCCTGACAGCACTTACAACCTGGTAATTCTATGTTTAGCAGCTGAGAAAACACCAAACTGTTTTCTACATTGGCTGTACCATTTACTTTCTCCCCAGCACTGGGTGAGGGTTTCAATTTCTTCACAACCTCATCAACACCTATTGAGTTCTAGGTTGTATTTTTCAATCATTGCCATTTTAATGGGGATGAAGTGGTATAACTCATTATGATTTGATTTGTATCTCCTTAACAGAGTCCCTGGAGTCTTGGTATGGCACTGAGGGTTAATGCGCTGGACTGCACGGTTGGTTTGAGCCACAAGGTCAGCAGTTCAAGCTCACCAGCTGCTCCTTGGAAACCCTACACAGGGTTGCTGT